TGCGCTTTTGCAAAGAGGGCGCCACCAAATTTTGAGGACACTTTTTTAATTGGCTCAAAGAGAGAAGTGGCCCATCTTGTTATGTACTATCTTTGACGTCGTGTAGAGTGTCATTGAAATGAGTGAGGCATCCTGGTGAAATCAGGCGCTCGTCAAAATAATGGAATCGAAGAAATCAGCATATTTCTTCCCTTCTGTCAATTTTTTACTGTTTTTTTTTTTTTTTTCTCCTCAACACCTTTTATATCCATTATATCCATTGAAAAACACATTTCTTTGTGGATTTTACACCAAAAAATGGCGATGAAAGACACAAAACATGTCAATTTGCAGTCTTCAAGGACACCCGAGCTTTGGGAGTCACAAACTTTAGCCGCCATTTTCTCGCTAATTTCACGTTTGACAGCTGGCAACCGTCAATCGCAAATATCTGGACATCTTTTCAAAATAAATTGTATTTTTTTTCACCGAATGCGAAAGAAACGAACAAGCTATAGGATGATACATAGGCTACGAAAAACTCCATAAGCCCAAAATTGACGAGCGCCCGATTCGACTGTGTCGTGGTCGACATATTATGTGAGACAGCATGGTGAAATCAGGCGCTCGTCAAAATAATGAAATGGACGAAACAGGTATTTTTCGGCAGGTTTTGGGGATTTTTATGAATTTTATTTGTTTGTTGTTGTTGTTTGTTTTTTTGTTGCTTATAACCTTTAATGTTCTTTTATAAACACATTTCTGTGTGAATGTTCCGGAAAAATATTGATTAAAGACACCAAACAAATGTTCATTAATTTTCCTGTTTCAAGCACTCTCAAAATTTTGGAAGTCACCAAATTTTGACAGCTTTCATTTTCACTTTCTGCCTCCTCCCTCCCTCACCTCCTTTGCCCCCTCCTCTGGGCTTCTGACTCTTTCTGCAGCCTTTCTACTGCTACTCAATGGCTCCTTCTCACTGCTGTCTTTCAGCCACACCCCTCGTCTTATGGTAGGCAAGACCCACACCTCACCTTCTCAGATAAGGACAAACAATTTCAGAGGAACCATGTGCAAGTTGCGCACGTTTAAGCTCTCTTGGTGATCCAAAATCGATAAGAGTAGGCTTCGGCTGCCACTCAGGCAAAATTCAAAATTTTGTGCCAACTAGAGATGTTTAATGTGTCCCGCTCACCCATATGTGGGTGGTTTGCGGGTGCTCTGGTGTGGTTTGCTTCTTCTTTCCTATCAAACATCTATCGTCTTTATCTCCCCTTCTTTTTTTTTTTTTTGTTACTCTCTTGTAAAACCTCTAATCTTGTGGCGCTCATATGACCTTATGCAGTTGTAAGCGCCGTAAAACCTCTACTTAAGCAATATGACCTTATTGCTAGTGCCATAAAACACACATACCCCC